GTCATGCAAGGTATTTTGTAAATTATATTATTTCGTTTAATTAGGTCAACTGGGTCCTTTAACCTACAAAGCTTGTCCTACCTGAGTGAGTTTGTAGGTTTGAATGTCACTCTAATTCCTGCTTTACTGAGGGTGCTACGTAGGGTCTCACATGGTAAAACTGTAAATGCCTTATATTCTTTCTTTCTTATCTTATATTGATTTTTATTCAATAGCGTCGGTGGCGTTTAATCAGTTTTACTTATGTATATAAACGATGCAAGACAACTGTGTGAGTAGTACCTTGATACGATGACGATGAGCAGTAATAAATTTTGCTCGAAACGTGGTTGTCATCAGTAAATATTACTTACTGTTTAAAACACCATTGTGTGTGATTTTATCAAAATAAAATTTTATCCATAATAGAGTTATACTTTGGTTTCCATGTCTTGCCTTCTGCTGTTACAGTATGACGACACAGAGCCACTGGAAATGAATGTTGACTGTAGTTTAGTGTAATGCCCTCAGAGTCAGATCAGAACCCTTGTTATACTCTTCTTCTCAGTGACTACAATAATTAGACAATCAAAATGAATTAATCATTATTGTCTAATACTTCTTTTTTTCTATTTCTTTTTATTTCCCAAATATATAAAAAAAGGAATGAAGGTCAACCGTGTGGAGCACGTATTGCAGGTTAGTGAACTAAATTGTCTCTCTGTCTGTCTGTTGCTTTTGTCGTTGGTGTTGTTGTTGTTCAGATGAACACAACTCCGACAAGTAAGTGAGTAGAACTAACAGAATCTGATGCAGTTTCTCAGCAAAGAAGACAAAACCGACGAACAGTCAGTAATCAGACAATCTATCCAGACGCAAAACCGGAAGATCAAAAGTACGCAAAAGAAGGAAGATTACCGGAGTGTTCTGCTGCATTCTATTTTACTTGATTTCCCCTACCCTTCCCCGCCCCAAAACACTTGCATGTATTGCTTGAATACAATAAGAGTGAGTAACAGCAGCGAAAAATGCATGATGCGCCTCATTTTTCAAAGAGTTGTGTAGAGCACGAGACAGAAAGTGAAGCGTTCAATAATAATAATATTAATAATAGTAAAAGTACAACCGCCTTGCTTGAATTTGCATTTTTTTTTGGGTGCATACTTTGCCTATATATCTGTTTGGTATGCGCTATCTTCTATCGGCTGCCTACGCTTGTACACGCTGAAATAATAATAATAATAATGAAAACTAACCACTTTGATTTTTTTTAATAATAACTTTCTTTTACTCTAATTACAGAAAAAAATGTTTTACATTCTTTATTTTATTCTTCTTTTTATTTGAAGAGAGAAGATAATTCTTCATAATATACAGTTAGTTATTTAGGTCAAATACATTTGGCTGTTAGCTAGCTGGCTTGCTAGTTGGCAGGCTTGTTAGCTTACAGTCAAAGTACTTCTTCTTATTGTCTTAGTGACCGACAAAATTAATTAATTGATTGATTAATTACTGAACGAGATGTAGTCACGTATGGATTCTGGCATATTCAAATCAGAATGAATAATAAGGTAAGATATATATATTTTAAGTGAATTAACTCTTCTCTTTTGTACGTCTTTTTTATGTAAAAAATATTAATTAACTAAGGTTAATTGGTGGATGGTGACTAGCAGTGGAATCAAGCCAGGATGAGCATTTCATCCTATTTGGGATTCGTCCTCCAGCTGGATGTACTTGCATTCCCCCCACCACCGAGGCTCGAACCCAGTACCCCCGTAGTTTCAAACGCCAAAGCGTTATCCACTAGACCACTTGGGCCACGAGAGCCACTGTCTCTTGTGCAACGGGTCATGTTAATTTAATTGAATTTTAGATTTTCCTGTCGATTGATTGATTGGACCGAAGTGCTCGGTCTCAGGTTGACATCGTCGAAGCATCTGCACAAGAAGCCGATATGTCAACCTGAGACCGAGCACTTCGGTCCAATCAATCAGTCGACAAGAAAATCTAAAATTTAGTTAAATTAACTAAGGTTAGCTGGTAATTTGTGTGTGTGTGTCTTCAAGTTTGATAGTTGACTGACTGACCGACGTTTAGAGAAATACACTGAACACTAGGAAGCATTAGAGAGATGCTTGGATTCTTCTGCAGTACTTATGCATTATGCTCCGCGCCGCTGTGATGGAACCAATTTTGTTAAGTATGCGGATGATCTGACTGTTTCTGTGTTGGCGGTTAGTTCTCAGTCAGACTGTTCCAAAATGAATGGTCAGTGGTTCTTGACTGTCAAGTGATCTTAAGCTTAATCCCTCCAAATATCAGTCAGGTGGTTAATTTCACTTTCAGATGAAAGTGAGACCTATATGGAATGGTTAGTTCTCACGGTTCCAGTATCATGTAAGGCAATGAAGTTGAAACGAAATCGAATGTTAAATACCATGGACTCTATATTTTCTCTCTTCATCTTTCCTGGACATCCTCATCACGTTAGTTACTAGACAGATATTTCGTTTAACTTTCTACATAAGGAAGTTAAGACAATTTGATATCATTCCGTATCCACTGTTACCGTTTGTTAATTCTTGTATTTTGCCTATACTTCTTTACTGCTTCCCCACACCTCTTATTCTTTACAGGGCTACTAAAGAAAAACTTTGTTGCACTGCGTAGGGCACTAAAATGAAATCAGTAGGGAGAATAGGGTGTTGCTACACAAACTCATTAATACTATGTAGATAGGCACATGGACTTCTGCAAGAAATTAGCAAATATTATCCCGTCAGACTTTGAACACCCTCTGCATAAACAAACCTCTCCTTGATGTATCTTATTGGGTAGAACTAGAAGCAAGTATACAAGACTGTATTCCCAGTTGACTAAGTACATTAAGAGCTATGCTCTGTGTACGCCGATCGCCCCTAAGTAAACTGAAGGACGAACTCTTGCATGTGACCACTCGCATAGCTGGATACATAGGTTGTTCTGTGAGCATCCTTTAAAAGTGTGTTGGATAACATTATGCAGCATGTCTGCAAACAGGATGCACTGGTTCAACCGCAACACCTTGTGAACAACACCTCTCACATCATTCCAAATGATCAATCACGCAGAATCATTTACAAAGTGAATAAAAATCTACCAAAGACACTGTGTTTCCTAGTGCAGAAGCCTTCGTTATATTCACCAGAAGGAATTAGTTCAACCTTTACATTTACCATGAATCTAGTTCACTTTCACTCCTTAGTATTCCTTTTTTTGTTTTATTTTTTCATTCCCTTCATTGTTTCAACTTTAATTATAAAAACTACTATTTCAATTTGTTTCCCCTCACGTCCCGTCTGCACTTGCTATCTATCATTAAAGAGCTATTTTAACATCTTACGCAACAATTTTCTAATCCTATGTAATTTTGCTTCAATTCTCCTTGTGATCGATATTTAATCACCTTCCTATCGAGTTGGAAATTATTGTCGCCTTTAATCGCCTTCGTTATTATTATGTGGAACAACTTTTGAGGATGAAACTGCAGATACGATACTGGGAATCATTTCCATTCTAGACAACATCTTCGACACTGTCTGTCTTCTTCGAAATCACCTTACCAGTGATTCTCCAACGTCATCAAAAGAAACAATTATCCCATTAGTGGAGAATTGTAGGAAAACTCACTTCACATTGAGGCAAGTGCTAGAGAAGGACAACACTAAAATAGGACTCTACTTGTTATTTTATGAATTTTACAAGAGTTGATTTGTATGGATTAGATTTGTTTATGTACGTCGGTGGCATGGCGGTTAGGACGCTCGCCGACCATGCACATGGTCCAGGGTTCGATCCTCGGCTGACGCACTCCTTTACCCCACTAAGCCAGAAATAATGCTGATGAAGAGGAAAGGTTGGGCATGAGGCTAGCAACCCCATCCTGTAAAATAAACACCTCTACAGAAACTTCAAGCCACTAGCTTGAAGCCCTATGTTCCACTGGGGAACGTGAATGAAAAAAAAAGGTTTGTTTATACGAGTTTGACCACAGATTGATACCAGTTGGAGAACCATTGAAAACCACCACCATCGTCCTAGTTCGGGACTCATCATCAGTAAGCACCCACCACCAGGATTCGAACCCAGGACTTCCAGGTTACAGGTGAGGCTAGGTCGTATAATATTCAGCCACTGGGACCCGACTCTTCAATGGCCAGCCCATGAATTATTCTAACTTCCACCAATTCGTGATTTACCGCAACCAACATTATCAGAAATACTGTGCAGAATTTCTTTTTTCTGCTAAATACGTTATTTCAAAAAATTAAGACATGTGTTGTAATGCAATGCGATGCGATGAATAAATAACATCACGTTCTCTAAAAATGACAAGTGTTAACTGCTAAATTCTATCATAAAAAAAATCTAAAAGTACACTGTACTCTTCTTTTTTTTTTCTTTTGTGCCATTTTGTTTAATTACATCAAAAATACTGTTCAATGGTTCACGTGATTACCTTGAAATAGATACGTTAGGGACAATTGAACACTTATATACATATGCACACACGCACGCACGCACGTACGCACATACTTTACTAACTGATTCACGCCTCCTATTGGTTGGTTTTGCTTTTACCTATATAAATACATCAGTGTGTAGATGAGCACCAATAGGATTTCAGTGTATTGATATTCTTTAATCATCATCGCATAGAATGAGTGCCTGTGAGTGTATGCATGAGCACCTGTGACATAACACACATACACACACAGACACACATAAAAATTAATATGCCTTTCTAGTTTCTTATTTCACGGTGTATAGCACATAGATATGTGTGTGTTTGTGTGTGTGTGGGTGTGTAAGCGTGTAGTGAGCAAAGATTTTTCGATGTGGGTGTTATGATGAGTATCATTATTATATATCTATGTACTCTAAGTTTGTAATAAGTGCGTAGCTTCCAAAGTATGTGCCAACAGTGATCACTTGACGCACAGTGATACACTATTGACATATTTTCTTATTAATAATGATAATAATAATAATAATGATACTATGAAGTGTGGCGAAATGTATCTTGTATCTACATAATTCTTAATATTCTTATTAATACATAATAATAATTTTTAATTAACCCAATCCTACTCACATATATTCTACGCTTTATATCTAATAATTGTGGATTATACACACTCAACATTTTGGGGTTTCGCTTCATTCAACACATATTATTTATATACTACAGTTAATAAATAAACGCTCAACGCTTGAACAAGGCGAGATCATGATTGAATGAAAATCACAAATCACTTCTACACTTCGATTTCCTCCGCCTCCTTGTCCTCCTCGTCTGATGAGATGATTTAATCAATTTTTGTATAATGGCTACTGAAACTACAACGACTACGAGAACTATTGCTGCAGCTGTGGGTGCTAGTAAAAAAGAGGATAAAATGTTTAAAAGTCATGCATTCAATTCAAAAATTAAACATTTCCATCATTCACAAGGACATGACCACCACCACCACGAAGGTGAAGAAGAAGTAGACGACGTCGCCCGACACGAAGGCAATAGATACTCACGTAATTATCTTGCCAATGAAGCAGAAGAAACAGCAACAAGAACACCTTCTGGAGGAATTCGTCGTCATCCTAATGACGGTCATGTATTCCCCATGTTGGCTACAAATACTTATAATAATAGCAGTCATGTACCAATGAAAAGTCATACAATCATTGATACAGACAATGAAGTCTTTGCATCAAAAGTTGTTGAAAAAAAATCGACAAATATTGACAAGGCCTCAACACTATTGAGTATTAGTAACACTAATAACAACTTAACAGATACAAGGATTAAACCAAACGGTGGAGTACAAAAAGTTGACTACCTGCTGTTCGATGCACCATCATGGATGAAACAGACAAAAGTGAAGAGTACTCAGCAAAAAGCCAATAATAATTCTCTTCTTCTTTCTTCACAAGCAAGAACTGCATCTTCTTCATCACCACCACCACCGCCTCTACCTCAATCTTCACCTCCACCACCTCAAATCCCCTTATCACTTCCACCATTAATTTCATCATCATCAAAGTTAACAGATGAGAAACGTGAATTTTTCCCTGAAAAAATGCCTATCATTAATAGAGAGACGACTAACAACAGTAAAGCGGTGGTTTCTGAAAGCTGGACTACTAATCCACAGTCAAACAATGTAATCACAGCAAAAGCTTCACCAGCTATCCGATCAACAAGTCCAAGATCAAATCAGTCGCCAAGATTTGTTAGATCAGCATCTGAAAGATTTCCAGGTTAGATGATATAAAATTACTTTATTATTATTATTATATTATTATTATTTTGTATTTTAACCATATTGATGTCTTTTTCCAAGAGAAATAACCAACTGACATCCTTTGTCGTAAATGTTTTTCCAAGAAATATACTTGTTACCTTAGATAATTAATTTCAGATATTAGAAATCGATCAAATGTACCGCATACAGCTTATTATTGCCTAGTGGCTTGTGAAACGATTGAAGAATGACGCCTAGACAGATGTTTTAGCTCACCAGGGCTTTGATTTGGACGATTACATAGATGGATTAAGGCGTACTTACTTTGTCATCACATGAAATGGTCCCCATAAGGGATCCCATATGGTACACACGAAAACAAATGACATAACGCTATGTAATTCATGATTTATTAGTGTCATTTGATTTAATCATGTTAACGATGTGACTTCGTGATTCAGAGAAAGTTGTATTTTCCGAATAAAGCCTGTGGTCACCAATATGCCTCACTGTGGATTACATTTATGTTGTGTTATACTGTATACATCGCGTCAGGCTGATAAGTTTAGAAGAGGAAGGATATCAACGGGTATGAAAGATAGATACTTCATGTGAAAACTCAAATGAATATCCTTTAAGCCCCCCCCCCCCCCAAAGTACTTGTTCACACATAGACCAGAGACAAATTATGGTCAGAGACTGATCGTTGGAAATACGAAATATAATTCGGGATCAGAAACGTACATAGAGAGGGTGTCCACACGAATAACAGAACATAACGCTTCAGTTTGCCAAATGACGTGTATCCTTGACTTTCTACCTTCAGCTTAACCAGTTGACTTTAACCAATGAAGGTCACTCAGCACTCATTGTCGAACGATGAAACCTGTCGGTTAATAATCTCTCTAATAAAGTAGGTATTACTTCTTGATGCTTCGTAGGCTATTAAAGATTAAACACGCACAGATTCTAAGTATGCCTAATCTAAGTGAAGTTGACTGCCTGAACTTCACTAAATAGAGTGAGTGGGTTTTGAACCCTTTTCCAAGTATCTGGAATGCGATTGGATAGATTAATGAGTCACAGTTGCAACTCATATACTACACTGATAATAAATAAGTAAATAAATTTCTTCTCATAGTACAGTACATGAGGGACGCCAGTTTACAGGCATCATCAAATTGTTACAGAAATAGAACCATGTAATTCAATCACAATTTACAGGCGGTAGCAAGATATGCTTTACATGTTCGCTGGAGATTATACATACACTTGATTAATGTTAATCCCAGTAGTATAAATCAGCCTTTTCTGTGCACAGTTGGAAAAATCTGCTAGATTGTCAGTGAGTGCAACACATCAGGAAATACAGAAGTATTGTTTTCGCATTAACAAAAAAACAAAAAGTGACATTGCCATGTATAATAATATAAAACTTGGGCACAATGGTAGGGAATTTTTTTTTCATTTTCGATAGCAGCTTGATGCCACACCGTATTTTCAGTACAAGTATGACATTTTCAGCATGGATATCGGTAGCCCAAATTTTGCAGGCCGACCATAGATATCGGGTGTGTGTCGGCAGGGGATCGAACCCCGGACCATGTGCATGATCGGCGAGAGTCCTAACCACTGTGCCACCGACTCCATTATGGATAAGATTTTATTTTGATAAATCACATAGTGTAGTGTTATACAGTAATATCAACTGATGATGTTTCAAGCGCAAACTATTGCTCATAATCATATCAAGTCACTCAGTCACACAACTATTTTCCTTCATTTATATACATTAGTGGAATTGATGATTAGACATTTGAATAAAAATCAACCAGTATAAGATAATGTACATTCAGAAATAATAATATGAGTGTTATTGATCAATTACAATCAGATGGGAAATAAGACGAGCTTGTAGGCTACAAGCTCTTTAGGTTAAAGGACCCTGTCGGTTGACCTAATTAATCAAGATAATATATAATTTACAAAATACCTTGCAATGACTGTGAGGTCAACCATATAGGTCAAACTAGTAGAGCGGGAGTAATCAGATTGTCGGAACATAAGAATTTAGCTAATGTAAGAATGGTAATTTAGAAAAAAGCTCAGCGATTGCACTACATGCATTAACACACAACCACACAATAGGGTGGTGGGAGAGTAATCTGTGTAGGTGGAGAGAGAGATTGATTACTGAATCCTGGTTCATAGAGACATGCAACAGAAATGACTCAATGCAAATACCAGAAATATTTATGGAAGATATTATTACCACCAGTCAGTCAAATCAGAGGAGGATAATAAATAGTCTCAAAATTCTATTTCAATTCAAACACATCATAACATTCTAACAAGTTACTTATTATGACTATGTCACCGACTCACCCTGGCTAAAAATACACTCGTCTTATTTCCCATTTGATTGTAATTGATCAGTAGCACTCATATTATTATTTGCGTATGTACTTCATCTTATATTGATATTTATTCAAATATGTGGTCCATTCCACACATGTCTTTTAATAAAGGAAAAAAGTTGTGTGAGTGAGTAACTTGATATGATTATGAACAGCAATAATTTGTGCTCGAAACGTGGTTATCATCAGTTGGTATTACTGTGTAACACTGTGTAATTTGTCAAAATAAAATCTTATCCATAACGGAATAATAATAGTAGACAGAATTAGACAGGAGAAGAGTGTTAAGGGTGATTATTCCAAGCACTCAGGCGGGTATCATCACCTTGTTAAAGTCTCTAAAACGTTAAAATTGCTACTTACATGACTCACACTGATTCTCACAAATTCAATTTTTGCGCTCTGAAAGAGATCTATGCAATTCGCACATTATTTTCCCGTGTACACTACTTACGTTTCTCATTGTCTCAATCAGTTTCATTTCTCTACAATTAATTTGTGTTTTTTATGTTTTGTGTGTGTGGCATCTTCGACCTCTGCAGTTTTATGTAAAGTTGTAGGTTCATTTCAAAGTCTTTTCGTTGAAAGGTATTTGGAATGAGGGTTATTCACCACCTCGTTGGATAATTCATACAAAACCTACATACATAATTTTTTGAAGACAAAATGAACTAGAATTAGGACAATGATTTGTTCTCAATGAGTGACATATTGATTATGGGTATAAGGGAATATGAACAAACAGTCCAGAGAAGAGTTTCTCTGTTCTGCGGCGAATTCATTCACACTTAGCTGTACAATCGCAGTAATATATATAATTGTTTTTTGTATGTGTGTGTGTACATTAAGTTTGTCAGAAAAGAATAAACGTCCGTCAGGATTCCATATTAGTTTGTTTATTAGATATATCACACAGTGATGAAACAGTATTATTTACTGGATGACACAGTTTCGAACAAAATTCATTGTTCATAATCATCTCATCAGTTATAATCACACAACTTCGAAACTTGAGTTTCATAGTTTTCTCTATTCTCTCCTGTTTGTCGTCGTTGGGGTAGTAGAATATTCCGGATATCTGGCTGGACAGGTGTTGAATCATTCCTATTACATGTATTCCCTATCAGTTGATTCAATAGACAAAGCTTCTGTTATCAGTCCTGCTCCCTCCACCCTGCTGTTACATTAGATTTTAAAACTGACATCCTATCCCATTCATCCTATTGTATGGTTGTGTGTGACTGCATGTAGTGCTATAGCTGAACTATTCTCTAGATTTCTTATCTTATTTGGGTCAACCAATCTAGATTTTGCCAGGTTTTTATGTTCAGCTAATCTGACTGCCCCTGTTCTACTAGTTTGACCTATGTATTTGATCTGACAATCATTGCAGGCAGGGTATTAGATAAACTAAATTGTTTATTTTAAAAGCTCCACAGGATTGATCCTTTAACCGACAAAGCTTGTTTCTAATTGAGTCTGTGGGTTCGAAACTTCATCCAGTAAATAATAATACTGTTTCAGTGACTATGTGATACATCTAATAAACAAACTAATATGGACCTACTTACTACCACAGTGCCCAAGTTTTACACATATATTAGTTCGTCAGGATTACTGTATAAGTCATCAAAATGTTTCAAAAATGGGATAAATAATCAAACTACAACTAGGTGGGGAGGGCGAGGGCTTTAAGATTAGTAGGTCTTGACTAGGATTGCGTTATATGAAAGACACCCATAAAAATAGGGTGCTAATGAAGGAGCATGGAGACAAGTGTCCAAAGTAAATTATGTAATAGGTAGGAAGAGCAAATAAAGAGTTAGTTTAGGAAAAGATATTACCTAAATGTCATACAAAAATTCCAAAAAAAGCACAATTAACAAAGTAGTAGAAATTGGAATTATTCCCAAACGTAGAAAGAGGGAACGGAGAAATTTCTTCTGTGTAGAAAAATCAAGGCTTTCCAACCGGATCGCCAAGTCCTTGGTAGTCCAAAGTATACAAAAGCTTACTGTTTTCGGGAGGCTTCTTTTGACTTTGTAGATGACTTTGAATGAATTCTCCTTGACTAAATGAGTGACCAGTGTGGAATATGTGTTCAATTATAGGGCACTTCTTATTGATCCACTGTTACCTTTTCATAGCTAAGCGGGATAATGTTCTTTGACTCTTTTAGATAAAGCACGCATCGAACGACCAATATATACCTTGCTCCGCATAAGCAAGTAAATTGGTCGATACACATAGAAGTTTATCTTTAGAGTTATTATAGAACAGTGGGTGGCATGAGAATGTTCTTTTCCGAGAGTTAGATATTCTCCTCTTTAGAGTGTTGGTCAGAAGGTCACATTTAAAAGCCACCTTCATTTATCACATCTTCTCCAGCACACAGATGAGTTGTTATTTGTTGGTTTTGGGATTTGTGTATTTATCTAGAAAGCTACTACCTGAGAAGTAATCAAACTATCTATAATTTCTTTAATCATAAATGAGGAATGGGTAAATTTAAATAATTGCGATGGTTTCACTTAGTGTCACTATGATGATGAACCAGTTTAATGAACCGCATCCCTATATATGAATAGAACTTGTAGAA